TTGCTTGTGTGGGAAGTTTGTTAGCACTTATATGGTGTTGGCTTCAAAGTATAGCCTCAATTTTCATGAGGTAGTTACCAAAGAGAGGTCCATGTTTTGATAGCAGGTCTCCGCTTTTAAGAGCGCTTTACTTTTATAATAAACAAGCAGTTGGTGATCACCTTTCTCCCTTACAAGTACTGAACTGATAGTATCGGTGATAACTGCCAAGTATAGTTGTAGATTCTCGTCAATCTTGGGCTTAGAGAGGAAGGGAGCCTGTGCCAAGTTCTTCTTCAACTCTTGCATGGCTACTTCGCACTCCTCCATCTACTAAAACATTTTTCCTCCATTTAGAACCTTGAAGAAAAGAAGACACTTATCAGTTTCCTTTGAGATAAAACGGCTCAAGGTTGCTATGCGCCCATGAGGTTTTGTGACTATTTTGGCTTTTGGGGTGACCTCATTTCCATCAGGGCTTTAATCATTTCAGGATTGGCTCCTATATCCCTTTAGTTGACCATATAGCCCAAGAATTTTCTCGAAGCGACTCCGAATGCGAACTTGAAGGGGTTCAGTCTCATCCTATACCTCCGTAGTATTTGAAAGGCTTCGTCGATGTATTCCACATGATCATTTAGTTTTAGGCTTTTCACTAGCATATCATCTATATATACCTACATTGTCTTTCCAATGAGGTCAATGAACATCTTATTAACAAGTCTCTAATAAGTGGCCAGACATTTTTAAACCCAAAAGACATCACCTCGTAGTAGTAGAGACCTGTGTTCGCTGTGAAGGATGTATGATCTTCATCAACTGAGTACATTGGGGTCCAATTATAGTCTGAGTATGTGTCCATGAAGCTCACTAGTTCATGCCTGGCAGTGGAGTCAACGAGCTGATCTATTCGTATGAATGAAAAACTGTTATTGAGGCAAACTTGGTTGAGATTGAGAAAATCTATGCATGCGAACTTACCATTATGTTTTTTTTTAACAAGGATGAGGTTAGATACCCACTTCGGATAGGTTGATTATCAGATGAAATGATTTTCAATCAATTTCTTCACTTCGTCTCTCAGGGCTTCATACACTTCGAGTTGAGGGCCATCCTTTTTTATTGATGAAAGATAGCTTTCTGATCAAACTTTAAGTAATGACAACTAACTTTCGGGTCGATACCGACCATGTCGTCATGCCTCCACGTAAAGATATCTAAATTTTCGCATAAGAAACGTTTCAGTTTCATCTTGGCCTCCATTGGTAAATCTTTTCCAACCTGGAAGGAATTGGAAGGATCCAGAGATCAACTGGGGCCTTTATCACTTCAGAGACAATGTTTTCTTTAGAAGTGTCCACCATTTCGACATCTTCCCCTTGTTCTGGGATTAGCCTTTATTTAAGGGCGTCGTTCATGTAAGTGTTTATCAAAATTACATTGATGTCCATTGGTTTTGCCTTTCTAAAAGAGTTCAAATAACACTCCATTGCACTCATTGAGTTGCCTCTAACAGTGGCGATGCCATTTTTAGTAGGAACTTCATGCACATGTGGTGGATGGACATAACGGCCCATAACTCCTTTAACGCTGGTCTTCTTGGCACTCCACGATAGGCAGACCAGTTGTCCACTACCAAAAATTCCATAAAGTTAGGAGCAGTCATTGGTGCCATTCCCATCTCCATTGCCAAAGTGATTTTTCCCATTGGGATGATACAATCACCAATGAAGCCATACATGGGGTAGCTCATAGGAGTTAGCTCATAGTCCACTTCGATTTTGTCAAATGTTGCTTCAAATAAGATATTGATCGAACTCCAATTATCCAATAACATTCTTTTAAGACTATTTCATGCTATAATGACCTTCATCATCAAGTCATTTCAATGTGGATAATGCAGAATATCCGCATCTTCTTATGTGAATGTAAGGGTAGTATCTCTCTCCCTGTTGAGGGTCGATTGTTGTTGACTATGAAACTTGCCATTGGGGGGATCCCTAGCTTCCCTTGCATAGTTCTTTGGTACATTTCTAGTTTTTCCCTAACATAAGGGCCTCCAAATATTGTGTCAATCTCTCAAATAGGTTTACGGTCGGTGTTATCTAGAGGGCTTCTCCTTTTCCTTTGACTTCCTTCGGCCTCTTCTTATCACTTTCTCATCTCCGATGAGCATCATTTAAAATAGGACGACTAGCCTCAACTCTCTTAGGTTATTGATCTTACCTAGTACGAGGCACATCTCCTCATAAGTGTTTTTTTTTCTTTGATTACCAGGTTGTGGATGAGGCAACGTGTTTACAGTCAACTATATTATAGCTGTAGGAGTGATGTTAGTGCAGTAAAGAGGTATCTCATCCGTATTCCTAGGTTTAAAACTTTGCCCTATAGCCCTTCCTCTTTAGGAAAACTGTTGGTCGGACGTTCCTTAAGGAAACTATGTCTCAACACTAGGGTTGATGTCCTCATAAGTCTAAGCGGGTATTGCATTCAACGTTGCTTGAGTTGAGGGTGGTCGACTGTCCGACCTAGTGTTCCATCAAATGGGAGGTGGGACTTCTTCCTCGTTGTCTTTGAGGTGGTAGAAGTCCCCAGGTTACCCTATTGCAATGATGTTTCAATTCTCCATTGATGATATCGCGCTTTTATCATTTCCAGTAAAGCGTCATAATTGGTGGTTTCTTTATTTTGCACGTCTCTCCAAAAGAAAAAGTTTATATCTAGCCCTCCTCTCAGGGCTGATAGTCCTTCCCTATCAGTAACTTGTACACAGTAGGTCATTTCATCAGTGAAACGGGATAAAAGCTTTTCAATGACTCTCCTTGCTGCTAACTCATGCCTTGAAGGAGTTGTATAAGCCCTTCGCCTTCCTTGCTAGTTTCAAAGTATTTGACGAAAGCATTTTTGATGTTTGGCTAACTTCTAATGCTTCATTCTGGTAGCCTGGAGTACCACACTTCAACCTTTCTGCTTAAAGTCAAGTGAAAAGCTCCACATTTCACAGCGGGGGTGAAACCCCTTAGGCTCATATAGGTTTTGAAGTCGTTGAGGTGCTTCGTAGGATCCTCTCTTCCATCGTACTTAGGAATTTTAGGAAGCATTAAGCGGCTTGGGACAGGGGCATTCCTAATTCCCTGGGAGAATAGCAAGATGTCATCATAGTTGTCAAGGTCGTGAAACTTTTGTGGTTCGTCAAAATCTTCATCCTTTCTGAATTGAGGTCCTCGATGTGGTTGGGATGGACCCGCTTGATTCATGGCATGTTCTGCCCTCCCCTGGCTCGTGTTTCTAAGCGGAGGATTCTGATTGGGTTGCCATGTATAGGTTCATTTTGTCTTTCAAACTAAGGTGGTCCTTGTTGCCTATTTTTAGGTGAAAAAGAAGGTTGAGCCTACCTATTTCTAGGTCTTCCGGGGGCTTAAGCTGTCAAAAACACTTATGAATCTCCGAGACATGCCTTTTGGCTCTTAATTTGGAGGAAAGTTGAATAAAGCCTCATTTGTTCAATTAGTAGCATAGTTGGTGGATGTATCAACCTCAACTTCCATCTCTTGAGGGGCCTTCTCCTTGGTATAATGTTAATAATCAACCGTTTGGCTTTGGACTCCTTCTCCATGTTAGTAATTCCCTTGCAAAAGTAGGGGAAGGTCATGAAGGAAAGCATTTCCTTGACCTGTATATGGGGAGATTGGGTATCCTCTTTAGCTTTGCATATTCCTAAGCAGTTCTTGTGTAGCAATATTGTGTTGGGCCATATTCATCATGTTGCGGCCATGGTGGCCACCTCCCTGGTGAGTCTAGCAGCTATTTTGGATCCACCTCACTCATACTAATAAAATCGATGGCGGGCTATAGGAACAGCTTGTGAGGGTTCTCTTTCATCATGGTGTTCCCTAGCCCACTGAGGCGCTGATTCTTTATCGTCAAACTTATGGTAACGTCTTCTCTTAAAAAGAAACTTTCTTAGTTCTTAAATTGTACTCTCTTTTCAAGGAATAAACTGGACTTTAACAAGAGGCTTCTCTTAAAATTTTTAGTGGTTCTTTCTTAATAAACAACACTTTCTCTTCAAAGGCAAGAAACTCGCCCCAAAATATATCTCCTTAATAGCTTTTTCCATGGGGTCTTCGTGATTGAATGTGTGGCTTTACACAGACGGCGTCAATCTGTTAACCCCGTTTTTGTAATGGTTATGTGGACACAGATGTTGGGCTCACTTGCGTCCACACATGCAAATTTCAACACGTTTTGACAGGAGATTCAGACGGAAAATGATGATTTTTATGGACGTGGGAGATGCTCTATAACACGAAGGGGTAACTGTTGGATAAGAACCATGTGGCATCATCTTTCATGTTGAAGACTCACATCACTTAGTTTGCTATGCATTTAATATATTGACAATAAGTCGGCCACCCTATACACTAGGCGACAATCTTGGCATTCATTATTTCAAATGTTACATCAATCATTTCAAAAGATTGTCTACAAATCCTCTAAAAGATAGCGAGAGTTTCAACTAAAGGGAGCTTCGGATTGTAGGTTTTTGGTGTGAAGAGCTTCGGGACAGAGAGTATCGACTTCTTTTTTGATTTCTTTACTTTGACTAATTAGGTTTTTGTTGACTTTGTCAGATCTAATTCATATCTCCACCTGAACTATGATGTGGTTTTCACTTGTAGCTTTGGTGGTGACGAGTAACAAAAGTAAATATTTCTTATTTTTTAATCACATATTTTTAATCAATCTAATATTTCAAAATTCATTTTACTCAAAAAAATAAAATTCAAACAGGCCCTAAAGTAACAAGTTACCATGTTAGGTCACGTCAATTATTCATGTCTTAGTCTTCAGTAATCGTTGTCGCCCTAGTAAGAAGAGACACGTTTAATTTGAGTCCGTTCAAAATCATTGGAAAATTTCAGTATCAATACGTCACTGGTGTTCTAATTTTGAGATAAGTGCAACAATTCAAGTCTAGGCGAAACCTATTTTGGCCAATTTTGACCCTTCGATTGTATTCATCTAAGGTAAACGGAAGAAAGAAAAGTAGGCCAGCCAAGATTGAATTTACTCTTCCTTTTGGAAGCTTCTCCTCCACCAAACATTAGCCGCCACCACGATGTCAGCCGACGGCCACCGCCACTCTCCACTGATATCAATTAGAGGAAAACAGATGAGAAACTGAAAATGACACACACTTTTATTAAACCACTTTGAAACCACTTAACAGAAAATGCTTCCACTAAAAAGTAGGAGTAAGACACGTCATAATGAGTAGTCTAACTACATATCAATTTTTTTCAAAGACAATTTATCTCAATTATGCCTCGTAAAAAGTATGATGGAGGGAACAAAATCGAAATAAATTCAACTCAAATTGATTATTCGTANGTTTTAGATTTGTGTGTAATATTATTTGATGAATGTGCGTTTGAGATAAAGATAGAGAAAAACTTTGATGTAAATAATAATAAAAAAAAGGTTATATTAAACAAATTTACAATTTAAAATCTTTTTACTTTAAAGCTAAATCAATATGACAAATTATCGTATGCCCTTGAGAATCTAGTTACTATTAAGGGTAAAACGATCTTTTCTTTAGTCAAAGCACAAAATAAGCACTTGCTCGGAAAATAAGTATCACCCCGTGTGGTTAATTAATTTCCGTTAGTTCCTACAAGAAAAGGCATTTTTTAGGTCCAAACGTATTTTAAATTACCTTTGCTTATGAGCATGTTTCACCAACTCATAATCTCGCCTAAACATATAGATTCTATAAAATGTTTGATTAAAATTAATAATTAGTTTTGATTTAAATTTTAATCAATTAAAATTAATAATTAGTTTTGATTTAAATTTTAACCAAAAGTTTCATTGAGGTGGCCATACTATCAAATGAAATAGAGATATGCTACATGTACATAATTTCGGTTACCTAAAGGTGTCCACCCTCTCACGTGGGGCGGACCCCACATGAATAATTTTTTTTTAATTCATGTGGGGTCCACCCCATGTGAGAGGGTGGACACCCTTAGGTAACCCAAATTATGTACAAGTAGTGTTTTCCAATGAAATAACATGGTGGTAGACAGAATACTAGGACAACCTGTACCTAATTGATGGACAATTTTCTACACTAATGTTTGACATTTTGAGTATGAAATTTATCATTATTATATAAATGACAACTGATGAGTCTTCATTAGTATCTTGAAAAGCCTATTCCAACTCCCACTTGCTTCTATGATAAGATAAGACAACTACACAATATTTTAATTTATTGTACAGACAGATTTACAACAAAATCATATGTTATAATAAAAATATATAATGATCGTGTTGGGTGGATTGTGATCTCATACGATCATATCGAGTAAACAAAAATCGTTAACTCATGAGCTTACAGGTCATACTTTGGTCAAGTATCGTACGAGAGGCTCAACATCATCTATGAACATATATCAACATGAAAAAAGATGCAAGTTAGGTAAATATATCAACACAAAATATGTAAAACCTCTATCATTCATTACTTCAGGGTGATTTTTGTATTAGTAATCTCATACACTACATGGAAGTCTTTACAAGTATTACAGTGGATTTAGAAAACAGGAGAAAAACGAGTGTTCAAAACAAGACTAGACATAAAATTACACAACAAAATAGGAAGAAGCAAACTCTGCTGAGTGATTTATCAGTTTGCACTATATGCCTTCTTAACCTAGGACTACTACTACCTGCTAAATGGTAAGAGTTTGGATATGTATACAGAGTTGTATCCGAATTTCCAAATATCCTCGAGTAAACCATTTCCCAGAACATACCGACCATAGGATCGATAACATTTTGTGTCATCCCACCGATGCCAGTCATGGGTGAGGCCATATGGCTGCTTGGGGAAGGGTGAAACGGTTGAGAGGGATTGACATAACTTTGTCGATGACGTTGAGGTGGAAGCGAATGACCAGTACTTATATTTGGTATCAGCATGTTAACCCCACATCGAGGACTAGGAGGCCTATGTGGTATGAGAATACCTAAATTTGAAGCCTTGTCTTTAGAGGGGCTCATAGTTTTTCCACGTCCATAGAGTGGGATTAAGGTCTTCTCCGATAATTCTGACTTGCAGACAGGACATTGTGGCTGCTGATGATCCGGGTTTTCTGGGGAGTTATCATGGCGATTAATCCATCGGTAAATACAGGGCCAACAGTACAGGTGCCCACAGATTGTGACGACTGGATCTTGTACGACGTCCAGGCAGATGTTACACTCAAAGCCACCAGATGGATTTCCTTCAGACTCGTCAACTCTGGAGGATAAGGATTTCCACTTCTCCAAGGACGCTTCATCTTCAGTGAAATCTCTTTGTATTGCAGCCCTTTGGAGATAATGATCCGCATCCATATTGTCCGATTGAACTTTAACTTGATTTAGATCTTGTTGTCTGAATATCTGTCAGGTAAGAAGTTTGTTAAATCCCAAAATCCCCTTAACAAAACCAAAATGTATATCAAGAGATTAAATACCAAAACCAGAGACACGGTAGATATCTACAAAACATGGCCCAAGTTGCATAAGACAGAACTACTTTATGGACTGGAAATACAAATGTCCCCTGAACAGACTTTCTAACGATCATGACAGCATAAAATTCGACATCTCAAAATTTGTAGTACACAATGTACCAGTCAAAAAACATCACCTGGTCCTTAAACTCGGCCGACAATATAATAGTACATAGGAACTTACTACTTGTACATTCTGATTAACAGAAAAGATGACAGATGCTGATTTTCAAATCAATGGCCAAAATGCATTCCACCTCAGCATTTGACTACAAGTGTAAAAACATTTATGTACAAGTAACTTGAACACATAGTACATAGTTTCAAAGGTATCAAAGTCATAAGTGGTGGAGCATGCAGAGATGGTGGGTGAAAAAGAAAGTTAAATGATCAAATGAGCAATGAAAAACTATATTCAAATTTCTTCTTTCTTCTCATACACTACTGAGTAAAGTTGTTCCTTACATTCGAGTTAATAGAGAAGGAAAGAAAACAACAATTATTAAAGTAGGTGAGAAGCGTCTTGATTATTTATTATTCATTAATTGTCACAGAATTTTAGCCAATACTTCAACCGTAGCTCCCATCCAACCACCTACTCTTCGAAACCACACAAACTACCAAATGGGCAAAGCACGATACTTTCTTCGAGAATATTAAATAGTAAAATCATATCCCTAATGTTCCTCAATATTGAGTGAACCATAAATGTACTTCTAGAAGGAGAAATTATTAAGGATAAACCAAAGTCTTCAATAAGGGGTTCCCTATAGACAATACATAATCATGTCAAGGGATATATGTGAAATACATTGCGAAATTTAATTTTTCGCACGATCATACTAAATAATTAAACTCAACATGTGATCCATTCATCCAAGTGTACTAGCATCACCTTTAACTATTTTTTGCAATAAGGACAAATCACAAATCCGAATAGTGAATGAGTCAACACTGCAACCTTCAAATACAATATGTCAATCCTTATACGTTGATTGTGAACAAATTATTTATGATCAAAACATAATTTGTGTTACACTATATTTCTCTATGCAAGTACCCAATTTAGATTATCACAAGTGATTATAGACATTTTAATTCACACATTCAATAATAAATAAATAAAATCACAATTTATTTTATCATAGCAAAACATTGACACACAACCCAACAAATAGTTACATCATATCCCTAATGTTCCTCAACATTATGAGTGAACCATAAATATACTTCTAGAAGGAGAAATTATTGAGGATAAACCATCAAGTCTTCAATAATGGGTTCCCATAGACATCATGGCATAACTTATTCCATTCTCAGATATTTTAAAGAGGATCTTGTTATATGTATATCAAGATTTAAATAATGGATTATATAATATCACGTGACTCTCTACAATTTGTCAGTTTAAAACACAATTAACTTTTTCATCAAATCTTTTTCTCTCTACATCATATTATGTAATCCATTATATAAATTTTTTATGTACGAGTGGCAAAATCCTTTTAAAGAACAAGGATAATATGTATAAATTGAATGATTGTGCTAAAAATTAATTTTGCAAGGCAAACAAAAGGTATGAGGTCAAATTATTGACAAGAGAAGATAACTCTCTTATTTGAGGACCTCCCTTTCCCTTTCAATCTTCACCAATTTATCTCACGACAGAACAACAATAATACTACTACAAGATCTGTAAGTATGATAACAAAATTTAAATCTCAAGTCAAATATTAAAGGAGGAATTATTTTCATATGAATAAAGCTAAGTAAAAAAGTCCAAATTCTGGGATTTTAGCAACTTCATAAACTTGTAAAGTTTTGGCCTTGAATCTTGATGACACAAGTCTCAGCTAACATAACAGAAAGGAGAAATATTAAAACATATATCACAACCCAACCAATGAGTCAACAAAAAGTAAGATCTCAATCAAAAAATTGTAACTCAAAGCAAAATTTGGAGAAGAAAAGGGGATCAAAGGTTTTGAAGGCACTAAAGGACCATCCATACCCAGTAGGCAAGACCATAATAAGTGCTTAAACGTGAAAATGATCCCTGATTCTCTCAAGATTATATTAAAACCCTCAAGATTAAAACAGAGTAGCTACGACCCTTTTATATGAAAATTTGCACTCTCTTCTCTGAAACTGAAAAACTAAACGAAAATAAGATACATACCAAGATGAGAAAGGGTCTCCTGATATGAGAATTTGAGGGAAAAAATGGGTTCCCTTCTTGTAGATGAATTATATATAGATAAAAGAAGAAGTAACTACGCAAATTTGAGAAGAAAATGGTGGGTTGTTTTATTTTGATAACGAAGAGATAAAAGGAGGCATGGGTATAGCTGAGATGAAAAGGCCCGTTTTGGCTTTAGAGCTATATATAAACAAAGTGTGCATGTGAGGACAGATCTATGCACACACTTTATTATGTATATTACAGGCCATGCTTTCATTTTGCTGATGTGGCGCGTGGAGCCCAGTAACCAAGGCTCCGATACATTTTTGACACCTTGAATCGTCATCAATTCTTAAAAAATAGAAATATGCCAACATATTTTTTTTTTTATATTTTTAGCACATTACCGTTGATGTCTTTCCATTTGTTAATGCTAGGGCATAACAATTGTATTTCGAATTGAACGAGGCTCCAAGGGTAACCCACGTGGAACTTATTCATGGAAGAACAACCGACGTCCCCAACGTTTGACCAAAGTCAAAGAGACCGATGCCCAAATTCTGAAGCTCAAAAGCCGAAGCATCGAAGCTCAATCTTTGGAAGCTCAATCCAAAGCTCACACTTGAAACAGTTTTCTTGTAGATCAAATCTTATTCGAATGATGGATGTGACCTTTATAATGAAAAAAATGTGAAATCTTGTCGGCATAGGTTAAACTGAACTAAAATCTATTAATTTTGTACACTTGTACGGATAAATATTTGGGTTGTTATTCAAGTAAATTGGTTTTCTTGTGAAGCTCACTTAGGGTGTGTTTGAGTCACATTATTTTAGAAAAATGTAATTTGGAATAATAGATTGATGGAGAATGTGTGGCTGAAAAAGAAGAAAAATTTATTGATGTGATGGAAAATATTATTTTATTGAAAAATAACAATGAGAATGAAAATTTTAATGTGACTAAAACAGGAGCTTAATATTCTACTAAAATCATAAAAAATAAAATAAAATAAAATCATAAATAACATGATAATTGATAAGTTGAATAAAAAAAGGCTAGTCAATAATGGCTTTTGGTTGCTGCTGGCTTTTAATCTCAGCGCGTCTCCAAACGATTTCTCTCCTATGCAATAGTTGTCATAACATCAATTGAAATTCCCATTACGTCTCATAAATCTTGAGAGCACAAGAAGATAAAAAGAAAATGATAAAGTTCTTAAAGACTACTTTTTACTAAAAAGAAATATGTTTTACTTATAAGTAAATTTATTTGTGTTTTTCTCCCTTAGTAGTTGAGGGTCTAGAAAGGTGCTAAATTGACACCAGCAGTACTAGCTCAGCATCATTAATGCTAGCAAACTTCGACAAGGTGTCGATGTGCACATTTTTCGTGCGTGGGATCTGGGTTAACCCAAACTTCTAGAAAGATAGAAGTAGGTCGATTACCAGTTTGAGGTAGGTAGCCATACTCTTGTCCCTCGCGGTGAAGTTGCCGTTAACTTGACCAACCAATAACTTTGAATTCAAACCTCAGTACGCAGTCAAGCTTATGACCTTCAGGGCTGACTAGAACCATATCTGCTTCCAGCCTGCCTCTCCGGAGGAATCATCTACAAATGGGTTTACGTGGGGGTTTCGCAGGAGTACCTTACATAGTAAACGGGCAACTGGTGGGTACTTTCTCTTAGAGATCTGAGCTGATAGCTTCATCGAATATTGTCAAATAGAGTTGCAGGGCTCATAAGCCTTAGGTTTTGAAAGGATGGGGTCTGTCCTAGAAGCTTTTTCAGTTCCTGGAAGACCTCATTGCACTTTTTTGTCCACTTGAATTTCTTTCTTCCCTTGAGGATCTTAAAGAAAGAGAGGTACTTGTCGGTGACTTTTGAGAGGAAACGATTCAAGGCTGCCATACACCTAGTTAAGCTTTGAACCTCTTTCGGCTTTTGAAGGGACCTCATTTCGATCAAGGCGTTGATCTTCTCCGAGTTGACCTCTATACCCCTTTGGTTGACCATGTAACCTTGGAACTTTCCAGAGGCAACACAAATGAGAATTTAAAGGAATTTAACCTCATCATGTACCTGGAAAGTTTCATTTAGGTGCTTCACATGGTCCTTTGTTTTCAAGCTCTTGAAGAGCATGTCATCCATGTATACCTCCATTATTTTTCCAATGATTTCAGCAAACATCTTGTGACAAGTTTCTAATAAGTTGCCCTGACATTTTTCAGCTCATAGGGCATTACTCTATAGCAATAAAGGTCTCTATTAGTGATGAAGGAGGTATTTTCTTCATTTGCTAGGTGCATGTGTAACGACCCGACCTTACGCCAGAGCCGTCATCATATCATACATACTGTCCGCTTTAGGAGGGCCTAGGCCCATCTTACCCCTCACAACTTTCTGACGGGTCCCCCAGGATTCGAACACAAGATCTCCATCATTTGAGACTTAAGTTGAATCTTAGTACCAATTGAGCAACTTACCCAATTGGTACCAGGGAGACTTAAGTCTTCTTATCCTCCCTGCCCCCAGAAAGTTCCCAGACTTCCCTGGAGTCCTCTCCACTGTCACCTTCTTAGTGGCCTCGGAGGCCTTCATCACCTGTCGATTACCTTCCTTGATTGTGCCACCAACGCAGCATCAATCGAAGACTAGAAAAGCTTCGACTGCTTCGAAACTCCCTTCTCTGCGAAGGACACCGATATCCCAAAACTCGAAGACCCACCGCCTGGGCCCAACTACCTTTTCTTCTGGGGCTCCTCAGCCACGCCCTTACCCTTAATGGCTGGTGGCTTACCCCCTTGGTGGCCTCTTTGGGGGCCTCATCCTCAGCATCCTTTTCATTTTTGTCCTTGCTGAGGCGATCAAGCTTGGACTTTACTTGCTTGGCCCCCGAGGACCCAAGCTTCAGCACCTTCACCCCGGCAGTGGACGTGGCCTTCATTATACTAGCCATATCAGGCAAGGCATAATCCTTCTTGCTGAATTTATCTGCAATCAATAGAAAAAGTTAAGATTATTGAGGTTATAAACAAATTATGCTTTAAAGAGTTTCTTACCCCTGGGAGCCATGAGTCCAAAATTGATAAAGTATCGGTCCCTGTCAATGAGGTGGGTAAAGCTTCGGAGCTTCAGAGACCGTTTGTAGATGTCTGCAATAATTCTCCACTCCGCCTCAGTCAGATCGTACCGGGAGCTGCAGTTTTCGAATCAACAACTAAGGATCAGCCTCAAGGAATTATGCTTAAAACGACAAGTAATTCAAGACGAGGCACTCACAAGTTTCGTAGTACTGGGTCGGCACGGTAACGGCTGGGACAACATCACCCTCAACCATCTGCCACCTACCCGTCACCCATAACCAGGACTCCTTCCACCCCTTTATAGAAAAGAGGAGCCCAACTACGAAGGGGACATGGGAGCCCCAAGGGGTGATATAGTACCACCCCTTCGAGTCATCCTTCCCTACGACCCTAGCGTAGAATATGGTCTCGAATACATGCAGGGGTAAGTCCTCACCTAAGGACACTTCCTTCCGAAGGCATTAGGTCCCTACGACTTGGCTCCACCCATTTGGAAGAATTTGGGTGGGGAACAACATAAAGGTCCTCAGCATCGCCCTAAAAAAGGGGTGCAGATGCACACCTGCTTTAAATAGGTATTCACTGAAAGCTACGCAGTTTGACCTCGAAAAACAAGCTCTTTCGTGGGGGTCAGGAACTATGAGCTTTACATAGTGGGGTATGCGATAGGTGTCCTTAAGTTCAGCTAATTTGGAAAAGGTTACGTTGGATGGAATCTTGGCTGCCTCCCAACCCGCCTCATAATCTATTGGCTCCTCGGACATGCTATACCACTCACCTGAAGCCCCAGATATTGACTCCTCCCCACTCCTAACTACTGTGATAGCCAAAGACGCCTTGGTAGACATTATAAGAAAAAGAAAATTGCAGAAAAACTACGAGAATGGTGTTGAAGGTTGGAGAGAATGCTCCTTAAGTGAGAGTACCTAAATAAACAAGGAAGTCCGCCGGAAGACTCATCGGAAAAGATTTGATAGAAAGAAAACTTGAGAGGTTTCGAAGAGTATTTTGCGAAGATAAAGTTTGAAAATGGCAAGTTTCTAGCTTTTATACCAGTAAAGGACTCAACCCTGGCCATTGGATTAAATCTCAGCTGATTTGAAGCGTCCAAAAGTAAGTAGATCCGAGCCACAAATTTCAAACGGTTTATATTTTCCACGCTCCACATTAACGCGTATGTGTACCAGCATGGATTCACGCGTGAACATGTTCCCCAAAACCACACGTCCTAATAATTAGCCATCATTATGCATTGAATTTAAACTGCTGTACGATTATTGGAAGTTGTTTCGATGCAGCCAACTTGCCTTGGAAACATAAGAAACCATCATGTCACAGGCACTAATAACTATGAATGTCGTCTCGCTTCAAGGGAATTCAACCTCGCCAGTTTGAATATGAACTCGCGTCGCTTCAAAGTAATCCAGCCTTACTAGTTTGAATATGAACTTGCCTTGCTTCAAAGGAATCCAGCCTCGCCAGTTCGAATATGAACTTGCCTCGCTTCAAAGTAATCCAGCCTTGCCAGTTCGAATATGAACTTGCCTCGCTTCAAAGGAATCCAGCCTCGCCAGTTCGAATATGAACTCGCCTCGCTTCAGCTCCAAAAGAACCTCAGTTTTAAAGGCAACATTCTTAGCTTACCCATCACACTTCTTGAATTCCACGCACAGTATGAATATCTCTGCCTGGATTTGAGGGACTGATGTGAAGTACAAACAATTAAAACTTTTTCTGACTTATTGAAAGTCCACGCATGGCATAAATGACCACACATGGACTTGGGGAACTATTGTTACACTTATAAATGGAAGAGACACGTGGCACCATATTTTAGCAATGGGACCAGCCTAATTAAATCAGGGTATATTTTCCTAGCCTCCGATGTAGATTCCAAGGCCTTGACTTGTTCCGAGGCCATTATTGTTAACTAAAGCCACGGTTCGATGGACTATACACTATCCGAGGTCCCTTTGTTGCAGCTAGTGGAGATCCACGTGGAAAGATATAGCAATGATGAATATCTTTATTTCAATGATTGACGTGACTTTGGTGTAAAGTACATTTGTATCTTGTCTTGTCAATGTAAGAGCATTTAATGCTTTGTAAGGTTAGGAGAGTCAATTTGATAGCTAGGACTTGATGTGTTGGCCGATGAGATGAGGCCACGTGTAAATTGATCCAAAGGTCAC